ATTAAAAATATATACAAAATAGCAACAACAGTAGTAAAAATTAACTGAAAATCACAATACAGTAATACCTCAACTTACGCTACCCTGACTTACGCGATTTTCAAACCTCGTCGATTTGTCTTTTGTTTGAGTGCCACTCAATTCTTGATTACTCACTCCCTCGCACTATTGTTCAGCCTACATGTTCGGACATGTCGTGCGGAATCGACACATAGCTACAATTTATTTTGTGTTATTTATTTCTGTGTTATATCTACGGCGACTTGAGAGACTCTACTATGTCATCCAAACGAAGTAGAACTGATTCTTCTGCATCAAACAAAAAAAAAACTTTATCTTTGGAATGTAAAGTTAACATTATTAGAGACTTTGATACAAAAATGAAAATTTGTGAATTGGCAAAGAAGTTTGATCTGCCGTAATCGACGGTCAGAACAATTATAAGAGGTAAAGAAAAAATTCTCAAAGCTGTGAAAAATGCTCAATGTTTAGATTCAAGCATCATTTGTAAACATCATGGTATTATCGCTGAGATGGAAACAATGTTAAAATTATGGTGTAATAATCAAGTAAATGTGAAAAATTGTACAATAATATAATTTGTTATACATATGTATTATCTAAGATTTTATTAGACATTTTTTTCTAAATTATTGTTTTCTTTAGTCTCTGGTCACAATAAAAAATTATTTGTATGTATTTATATGCGAAATTATACCCCGACTTACGTGAATTTGACTTACGCGGTTACCACTCGGTCACACCTATCGCGTAAGTTTGGGGTATTACTTTATAACATCTTAAAAGTTAAAAAATAAACATTGGATGCAATGAGGTCTAGCCATTTCATTGTGAGCTGAAAGTATCCAAATGAGAACAAATCGATATTATATGATAATTGGTTAAAAATACTGTATTTCTTATATAACAAAGAGGTTATAAAATTACATATAAATTTTGGATGTCCTGACAAAAAGCAACAATAAAACTACAAATCAAGGTATTTCTGTACTGCCTCTTGATTGACATCTTTTTCAATTTGCTTTGCTTTTATCTTAAGATCATTGACTGTGTGATTAATCATTATCCAGAACTATCTAATAATAGAAATTGATATTGATATGCAAAACTGTCCTGGAAACATTATCCTATAATTCCTGGATCCAGAAACAGACATCTGTGCCCACAACTTATCACTTGTACCCACAAGTTGAACAGAAAATGTCAGATGCTTAATTGTGATAGGTGGTCACAGATTAATCAAGCAGTGATGACTTCTCACTTACATTTATTCTTCTATTGCAGAGTATTTCTTTTTTGATCATTCCACTCTGTATTGAGTTGTTAAAAAGTTGGCAGTCTGATGTAAATGCAGATTTTTGCAATAAATTGCATAAATAAATATTACAGGTGCAATTTTAACAACCAGTTCACCAAACTAAAAATATTTTAAAAAATGGTTCTGTTGAACCAGTGCAAACCAGCTGAATCCTACTCACTGAACACACCCACACATTGCTAAATTCATGTTTGTTGATAATTAACTATGACTATATATTTGCTCTAAAATTATAATTTAATGAAGAATTTCAATCTAATTTTATTCTAAAGAATTTCTAAATTATTTTTTAATGTATACATCATAACAATAGTGTTGTAAAATATAATTTTAGATGCATAATTCAATATTCATCATTTTTTTTATTAGCTTAATTAAATAGATGTACATTTTAAATAATTAAATTTGAATCATTTCTAAGAATATGATTATTTGTACCAGCAAAATTTTATTTACTTACGTCAGCAATATACAGTACAAATCCTTTGGCACTAGTTTCATATCAATTATACTTTTGCCTGTACTACTGATATTTGTTTTTTAAATAGCATATGAAAAAACCAAAAAGCCAAGTTATATCAGTAAATAAATTTAATTAATTACACATTTTTACGAAAAGCTATGTTTTATTGCAGTACATTCTATTTTACTCAATGCTCAATGTCATTAATAAAGAAAAAATAAATATCAGCTCTTTAAATTAAACTCCAGGATAGCTGGTTTATAGATACTAGATCATGTTATTTCAATGACAAAGATACTTGATTTTGTTTCAAATATTTCAACTAACTTAAAAATATTGACATCTAATGTAAATTCTTTACTAATCTATTTAAGATACAATCAAATTCCCCATTATCTCAGTGTACTTCAATATAAAATTCACATTAAACCATAAGTATCATATTATAAATCTATAGAGCCACCTTGATGAATGAGACAACTGCTTCAAGAGGTAGTAAAGCAAGCAGTCAAAAATGTTCAAGGAGAAAAAATAAAAATAATATACCAAATACAGTAAATAAATATTAAAGTTGTTTATAAATAGTTTATATAAAAGTGCTAGAATTTTTCTCTATTGACAAGCATTCCAAAAGCAGGACAGAAAATATTGGACAAGTTTCAAGTTAGCACTGTAAATCTATAATTGATATATTTAATAATATAATACATTCTTCATAATTTTGCATAATAGATCTTCAACCCAAAATAAACAGAACTATTTTATATCATTAGAAGACATCATAGGAAATCTCAGTAATTCTTACAGAAAGTGTAATTTTACTTGAAACAAAATTTAATATAAATCTAACCCAACATCTTTCTGTATGCTTCTAATGCAGCATTTAACAACAACAGATTAAAATATGAATAAGCAAAGAAAATGACAGTTTTTTGATGATTGATAGTACTTTATATAAATGAAAAACTATAAATACAGGTATACCTCGCCTTACGTCGGTAATTGGTTCCAGGAGAGGTGACGTAAGTCGAATTTACCTGTCTCCGAATCTACTTGTCACTAGGCTAAACCATAAATTATCATTTCCCGGTTCTGTATTTTATTTATTAATGCATTTTTAATAATATATGGTTAATAAGGATCTATTTTAAGCTAACAAACAAATAAATTTTAGTTTTTAATATAGTACAGAAAAAAGTAATCTAAATTTACGAATGCAGGTACTGTAAATACAGTACAGTACATACTTGTAAATGTACAGTATATATTTTAATTAATATGATTTTATGTGCTTTAAATGCTTTTCTAGTGATATTACAACTTCAATATTTGTGGCGGACAGACGTAAAGTTGAATAACATGACTTAAATTTGATTTTTATTTTTCCATATACTTTTTTTGACAAATAATGTATAATCAGGAACGATGTAACTTGAAATGACATAAGTCGAGGTATACCTGTACTTCTAAATAAATAAGTTAACTTAAATGTTCAAACTTCTGTAGAATTAGTAAATAATATACAGAGTTTAATTATAATGAAGTCATTTTATATAATTATGTAACTTTCTTCATTAAATAGGGAAAGCAATATACTATCTAATGTTCTTGTAAATAATCAATTTCTAACACATTTCATTTCCATAAAAATGTAACTAAAATTTTCTAATTTTTACATTCCAATATGACCAAAATTAAGATTCTTATGGAAAATGATAAAAATATTGAATTATACAATGAGAAGAAAATGAAGAGGGAAAAAATATATAAATGTTATTTTTAAAATATATGAAGATAATTTTGGGAGACACTTTTAATTAAAAAAAAATAATTACTTTGACCTAAATATATTCTGCTAAATATGTACTAGAGTAAAGAACTGTTCTTGCATAATACAGAATAAAGTTTTTTAAATAAAAATTCATATGTTAAGGAATTATAGAGAACCTAGGTGTTGAAAAATTTGAATAATTTAAATGAGGCATACAGAATAAACTATTATTTAGTTTGAATTTCACAAGACAAATTGTACTTATCAAACACTTTTTCATCTTTCAATACAATATTGTATTGATAGAGTTTCCCATGTGATTTTTATTAAAATGTAAGGTTTCTAAGTGAAAAACTAATATTGGATTTTGTGTTATTTTTCAAATTTCAATTTTTGTAGTTGTTCATTTTAAACTTCTATTTTGGATTTAAAAAAAGAACAATTAATTTAAACAGACTCAACAGTCGTAACCGAGCAAATTAGTAGCCGTTACGTAGCAATCCGAATCAGCCGAATGACGAGGGATGTATGCATTGGAACAAAAAGCCTCACTGGTCAGTTTTGAGTAGCAATAGGTAGCATAAACAAAAGATGCTACCAAACGTGATGTCAAAGCACCAAACACATTCCGAAAGAGCACTACCATACAGGACGTTCGGCAGAAAAATACTCAACAGCTCAGGAACTGTCAAGTCTGCCGAACGCAGCCAACGTAAACACAAATACATATGATAACGATACATATTATAGTAAAACAATATAAAAAATAATCACTTCATTCACTATCATTTCTTGTTTCTTTCTGTTTCAAGGAAACTTATACTAAAAAGATCAGAAATGTTTGATTGAAAAACTTCATAACAATTTCTGTAGAGTAATTATAAACAAATAATTACATATTCTTTCATAAGTATCAAATTTCCTTTTAATTAAGATATCATGTATCTTCATTTCTTAAAAAATGAAACAATTGATTGTAATTTACAATTAGAATAAACTTATAACTGAATAAATCTGGTGGTTTAATACTTTCAATAGAATTAAAAACGTGGAGAGTAACTTTAAGTGAAAAGATACATATTTTTCATTGGAGAAGAATTGCAATAAATTCCCGTGCTATAATAGGTTCCTTTGTGTACAGCTGCCTATTAAAAGTTCTTAAATCCTTCGGCGCCATTTCAAAATCATGTAAACTGACGAATACGAGTTATTTTGCAATACATTTTACACGTAAACCAATCCAAATATCGACTTTTATAAACCGAGATACATAAACTGTCACGAGTCAACACTTAAGCCTAATGTAACAACATACGATTTACACATTAACTGCATTATTAAATTTCCATACTTTCGCTGCTATTAAAGCATTTAAAATCAGCTCTATTATTTATACAAATCGTGCATTTAACGAAAAATAATCTTACCTTCCAACAATCTCGAAATAATGCTATCAACATTCAACTCACTCTCCGACATTTTTCCTCCGCTTGATGACGTCAAGATCCGTTCATGCCATCTAGCAACAAACCCGAACGTTCGGTCTGACTTGTTATTTTAAAGGAAATATCAAAAATATATAATCACTGCCGTACCTTCGTAGGCGGATACTTTTCAAACGTTCCGTTTATGTCACTTCCTTTAGTTTTTCATGGATAATATGTAAAGTATATAATTTTTACAATACCTCGACGGTAGAAAGCATTCGTCGTATGAAAATTTTGTATCCTCCTACATATAATAATAAAACTTTACGTTTATTCAGTCTAATGAAAAATTCAATTTATGCATTTTATTATATTTATTCCAAAATTTCTATCGTTCATAAAGTGATAAAGGTTTTAAGGGGGGTTGAGTTTTGTTGACGTCCGAAGAGGGGGGTTACGAAACTGGAAGGGAGAGTAAAAATTTCAAGATAAATGCGACAATTTATGGAAAGTCCCTGAATAACACGTGAAAAATGCAACAGTACAACGTGTGCACGAACTGTAAACATTTTTCTGTATACTTTGTATGCAAGTTGGCAGAACAATGTATGAAAATAGCAATTATTGCTAAATATTCAAATTTTCAGTAATGTGCTACGTATCTTAATATTTATCAAACGTTTGCAAATTTATTGTACAGTATTTAATATTTTGTATAGTTTAAAAACGTACGGTAATTTTGAGTATAAACTAGGTATTTTCTGAGAAAACAAAACAGCTCCATAGCATAAGTTTTACTGTTTCGGATTGATACGAAAACACAAATGTGGTGATGCTTCTAACGTTCTGTCTGTAGTTTAAAACTCGCAGATTCGAGGGAGGATGTATGCGTCCAACGTCATACTCGACGAAAACGTCAAGAAACGTTTAAACACCCACATGTGTGGCCAGCAGCTTACCAACCTCAGCAGCCGATTAAAACACACCCGTGTGCGTGTTTTCATAAATTGTTTTCGTCGTGACATCGTACGTGTTAAACTTCGATCAAAGACAAAACATGTTCTGACTTACGAAGAGCTCCGCTTAATAATTTAATGTCGACAATGAATTTAAAAGAAATATTTAATTATATGAATATATAACATGCCCGGTAAAAATAATTTTTGTTTATAAATTTTCTAAACTATTTTAATTTATACAAATTATTCTAGAATAAGAATAATCAATTTATTAACATTTGTTTAACCGCAAATGGATTTAAGAACTTTCAATAGGCGGGAAGGAATTATACACAAAAGAACCTGTTATAGCACGGGTATTATATTAAATGTCGTTTTAGATGAGCTACTCTGCTTGAATTAGTAATAATGAATGAGATTTTCAAAATTAACGATTCTTCTTGGTTGAACCTGATTCGTACATTCCTTTGTAAGAGAGTCGTTTAATCTTTACTTGTTTGCATCCCGTTGTACATAACATAGAAACAGTCGATGGCTGAGACTATAAAGACACCAACCTGCCAGTCTAGCAGATTTGGGTTTGAGTCCAGATTGTTCAGTGGCAAATTTCATGATAGTTGGCCCGGATATGTCGAAACTTCATCATCTAGTCCTCTTATCGTGGGCTCGAACCATAATAAGGTGATATGCTATCACGATGGTTATACAAAAGATCACCGTAGTGCCCGAAAAATTAGAATAGTTAAATATTAAAAAGTATATAATACAGTACACCTGTTTGTTTTGACGAGTCTGAATCGGAACCCAAGAAATTTTCTTGGATGGCTTGACAAGGATATACTGTATCATGTTTCGTTATCACCACCTAGCCGTTCTATTCGTATTCTAGGTATAGCCGAACCACGATAGACTTGTAAAAGACTTCTTAGTGCCTGCAAAGGCGGATTAAAAATTTTTCATATATTTGTTTAATTAAAGAATCCATCTCTAAAGAGCTTAATCATAATCAGTTCAATATCTTGTTCCTACAATGTAGTGTTACCACCCGTCCGGTTTTCACCCGGACAGTCCGGTAATTGACTTACTGTCCGGGTGAACTATTAATTTTGTCCCGGAATTTCAAAGTTCTTGCAAATACTTTTACAAATTTACACTACTTTAACAGCGAAAGAACTCTCATTCACTGAAACTCATCTGCAATTCTGCTATGTTTACGCCGACGTATGATGTACAACCCCTGTGTTGATCCTTTTTTTTTTTTGCTTGTACGAACCTACACATGTCAAATAGAGCTAAGTTATATGTACCCATTCTTTCTTAATTTACGTTACTTACGTTACTCATACCCAAGTCTCCCTAGTCCCTAACTGTAACTGATTTAGAACCGGCATGCATGTTATTCTTTGCATTGTAAAATGACATTGCGCATACGTCAGGTACTTCTGTTCGAACTGTGAAGATCGCGAATACCGTGGACAAAAAAACACAACTTTTACGATATGAGAGTCTTTAATTCGCGTACAAAATACAGGAATATAGATCGGATGCCAGCTACAAGCTCTATCCCTTAACTTATTACTTAATTTTAGTAACAAAAATTTAACGAATCAATTATATAACGCGACAATTCTTCCTTCGTTGAATGACTATTATACTTATAGCATGTACAATTATATCTTAAGACTAATTATTACTTACTAAAAACGAAAAATAGATCTAAGACAAGAGAGAAGTTGAAATGTAAAGATGAGAAGAAAGAAAAAGTCGGGTACCCAATAAATTCGGCGTTTTTCACAGTGAATTTTCATAAGTTGAGTGAGCCTCTCAATCCACGGGCAATGAAAATTACTTTCCAAAGGAATTTCGATTTCGCTTTACATTCTAGTACGAACGAAAACACCCTTCTCAGTTTTCGTTATCCTCGTTTCCTTTTCTTCTCGAAAAGTCCGTCTCGTCTCCACTCAGTTCCAAAAAAAAACTTCGAGAGCCTTTCTCACGTGTCCTTTCCTCTCTCGTAC